AATTCTGGTAGACAACAAACATTTCAACGTGTTTCAAGCACGATCCCTTTAAATACGAGGACTGCGCATCGATTCTAACACGCTTAAAGCGTGAGCGTACTCAAGCGAATTAGTTTTCTTTTGCCCCCAAGAGCAGAAAATGTAATGATTTGGGTGGATATGCAACTTGCTTCATTACGCGCAGTGAGCGCACGCATGCACGCACGCACGCACGCACGCACGCACGCACGCACGCACCCACGCATGTACGCACGCACGCATGCACGCAACGCATGCACGCACGCACGCACGCACGCACGAATGCACGCACGCATGCACGCACGCACGCATCACGCGCGAATGCACCCACGCACACACCGCGAAGCATATTACTCCCGAGCACTATTGTGTTCACCTCGCAATCCTTAATTAGTTGCTCAATCACATCTTAGCACAAATGAATTTCGTCGACCATTTTTTAAAACATTCGCTCCCTTGTGAAATCATCTGCACACACACACACACACACACACACACACACACACACACACACACATTCACGCTACCGTCGCCCTGAAACTCGAACGCGTTTACGATACATAATGAGCACGACAAACTCAGCTAAGCTACGCAATCCGTGGAAAACAGCGTTGATGATGAGCCAAATCAACAAGCCAAATATGTGTGGGGTACCAAGCTAACTGCTTTAGTGTAACGAACCGTACACTCGCCTGTGATGCATGTGCTTTTAACTGCCGTCAAAATACTGACACGTCGGATCGCGCAAAATGTTGCCCCGTATTACACACAACGGTGTTTTACGCGTCTTTTCTATTCATGATCGCGCGGGATTGTTACGGATAATATGGATGCAATTTTCAAGCGTAGCTATGTACTGCATCCGAATGACTAACCGTCTGAATTTTCTAGCCTGCTGTATTATATTGCCGTTGATTGAAAACCTGACAGGCTAATAACCGGTATATACGCGTGGTGGTATTGCTACGTGAACGCGTATCTTCGCGTACGAATGAATATAACCACCGGATTTATACGCATATGTGGCATGTGCGCTTATGTGCAACTATATGTACACGCGTCAGTGTAAGGCTGGCATCTGCTAGAAGAAATGAATCGTTAAGAAACCGCGAAGAGCTGTAGCACTACCTCTAGTATATTATTATATGCCATCAAATGAATTCACGCTTGCGTATTACAACTTCCTTCCACTTAACGACTATCTCGTTAATGGCTGGGTCGTTCAGCAAGAGTGCGTTTGATGACAAACGAGCATTAAACACGCGAGAAATTCGGCAAACCATCCACCGGATTTAGCGCTTATGCAGCAGGAACAGCATTTTGTTTCCTGTAGAGGGGCATGGGATTAATCAACCGCGTCGAATTCCACGCAATTAATCCGCCTAGAAGACATATCAAACACATCCGTGGAAGTCCAGCCTTAAAAAACGTTGACGTTTTTTTTCGCGAAGACATATTTCCTCCTGGATTTGCGTGACTTTGCCTTCCACACGCGCATGATTACGAAAACAAGAGGCTTACTTGGCTCACAGGACACAATATCGCTGCGCGCAATAAAGTAGAGCGGGCTCAGTGGTGGGGGGGATCCGCCCGGTGGTGGAGACAGCTGTGGCAGGGGTTCGTACCCCCGAGGGCATATAGCTCAACCGACTGACGAGGGACGCGGCATGATGCCGAGCTCTCATTTTATCCCAGGCCTCTCGGCACATTACGCACAGTCCGACTGCTTCAAATAAAATAACTGCCGCCACGCGCACACGTAGATAAGAGAGAGGGAGTGAGCGAGAGAGAGAGAGAAAGGGGAGAGAAAGCGGAGACGTGGGAACTGCCATTGACGAATGACATATGGTTAGGAAGTTTCCCGAAGGCACAAAAGAAATTAAGGTTTTTCACCGATACGCGGACGGGTAGTACTGTGTTACGAAGCTGTCATACCTTCTGCTTCAGCGATATCGTCATCTCTTAATTGCTAGCATTTCACCAAAATAGAGCAAGCGGTTATGCACGCGCACATTTAAAGCGCGTATAGTTAAAGCAAAAACGCAACGACGAGAGAGGCAGACATACTCGGAGACAACGCGTCTGCCCAGTGCCTGAACCCTGTATGCGCGATCCCCCTTGTGAATATATGTTCTAAGTATTTACAGGCGGAATATTTTCGTAAGTAGGATATATGTAGCTGAAAAGTTGTTGTGACACCGTTCTGCTAATGCACATTCCTAATATTTCAATGCCGCTGTAAAATGAATTACGTTCAAATCCCAGTTGGAGTACTGCAAGCGCAAACTCCATCCAGTGTGATGCACGCAGCAGTAGGCGGATGGCTTCAGTGCGAGTACATGCCAGCATTGGCAATTAGTTTGCCTACGAAATAATTTGCCCTTTAATAAAGTCTACGTGATCGATATCTAGATTTCTTCCTGGCCCGATGTACAGATATGGCACATACACAAATTGCATCGCTCGCTGAACTTTTCAGCATGTCAATTTCGTGTTGGCTCGAGGTACACACATCAAACTGATGATGTTTAATCGGGTTTGACATAACATTCGTGCTCGGCATTTGCACAACATCGAAATAAGCGGCATTTGTTTTGCACGATGCACCTAAAACAGCCGAAATATTCACGCGAAATAAACGCATTACACGTAAACACGTGAACGCACATCGGCTCTAAAACGAAATTAAATTAGGCATTGGTAAACACAAACTAGAGTGGAATAATTAATTAGAGTGATACTCTTAACACTTACTATAAGCATTTATGTCTGTCCCCACAGAAAGGAATCACATACGCGCATGTCTTCTCGCCGGTTCTTGAGCTTTGTGCATATATACAACCAACGTATATTTCTAATGTTTGTTGTATGCATTACCCATGGCTTAGGAATTTTAAACTGGTTTTAACCGAAATGGATCTAATATATTTTAATCTCGTCAGTTTGCAGCCGTGGGCTCTTTTATTATTTGAGCAAACACATTAATATTTTCCCGTTGTTTAAAACATGTATGCAAAAGCTGGATATTCAGGTTTCATTCTAAAAGGCACTTCACATTTGCATGACGATAGAGACTTGGTCAACACACTAGCGCATATATGTTTCCTTTATCTTCAGGTCGCAGTGCTATAGCACAACGCACAATATATCTTCAACTAAAAATCCCTTACTAGATTACATTGCAGGTCACTACCTTTCGGCTTACAACTTCCCGTACAAATCTCACTATATACGCACGTAAACTCAGCTCACACATAGTGGAATGCGTTCCTACAATATCTTCGTATCCTTGCTGTACATTTCTTCCAACAAAGAGTCTACATTGTCGTGTGCAATTTTCCAGGCTAACGATGATCAATGCTAACATGGATATTTCTTGTTTTTATCGTACACTTCTAGTATTGAAGTTAGATATCAGGTTTTTCAGACAATAAAGAAGCGAGGTTTATGATATCACGGTATACAGAAGTGCCCCATCATTCTCCATACAGCATACATTAAATCCATACTACGCTTATATATATATAGGCCCTATATATATATATATATACGCGCGGTATGGATTTAATGTATGATTTATGATATTATATAAAGTGTGTGTATATTTATTAAAGCGAACGACTTCGCATTTGTTAAAAGCAATTCATATTATTTCGCTCTTTAGTAATTGTTCAAGAAAAGGCCAACAAAAGGCGAAACGTCCAAGAATGTTCAAATTTACAAACGTCATTCAGCTAACGAAACAAAACTGCAATGTAGTATTTTGTATTAGCCATGTTTCGCCGCGTAACATTGCGCTATACTTAAGCTTAAACGACCAATATTTTGAATCGGATGCATAGGTAAAATGCTCGCGTTCATTAGCGCCCATACGCTCTGTCAATGAATGCGCGTGTACGCGTGCATGCGTAGATTTCGACGAAAGTGCTACCTTGCATAAATAATACGAACATGGCTGCTCCGTAGGTGTGAAACTGCACTCTGCTGCAGCTCCCCTTCATCAGCAGGTTTAATGAAACACCTCGGATAATGTAGCGCACTCAATATCTCTGAACTATTCATGAGTTTGTTGGAGCTGTGCGGGATCATTACGGGCTCACTGTAGATCAGCCACCAAAGCGGGGTGTCTAATGGAAAACACTCACAGTTATAAATCTTGCATTGACATTTGCTAAGCCCATGACACCTGGTGTTCAGCAAGTGCTATTCGCGGTGAAGCCATTATATCGGTTCAGGGTTCAGTGAATATGCGATAAGGGCGCGTACATCTCACTGGGACGAAGCTACCGTTTCGACTATAAACGTCCACCGGTATATATCTTTTAGTACCGTCGCGTAAACCTGCATACTGGAATGCAATTAATATTTCGTGGAAACGGGTAATTTAGCGTGTGGCAGATTCAGCACGTACTAAAACATTCATGTGAAAGACATGCACTGCGAATGTTGTATTAGGTATGAATTATTCTGAGTTTTGTTTTTATAGAAAAATAAGCATGACACACACCAGTTTACAGGATAAATCGAATTGCTTTGCATATTTTCTTTGCGCTCGCGAAAATGTACATTTTCAAAGTGTCTGATCAATACATAAGCGCGAAAAATTACCATGTTAACCATTCTGAAGACACATAACTGCGGAATTTCCACATATTCAATTGCTCTAGCAGAATGCAAATTGCGATAGAATTTTTTTAGGAAAAAAATAACATCCTCTCCCGATAACGACTGTAATGCGGACAGTTTATCATGAGTGTCTTGAAATATCGATGAGATACAAGCACCCGCATCTCTTATGCACACGCACGCACGCGCACTCGCATCGCTCATGCACACACACACACACACACACACACACACACACACACACACACACACACACACACACACACACACACGCACGCACGCACGCTCCAGCACACACACACGCACACGCACACGCACACACCTCTGTCCTCTCTGCTCTCTGCTCTCACCTCTCTTTATCCTTCCTCTCTTTATCCTTCCTCTCTCTCATCACTTTACCTGCAACGGTACGAACGCACTCTAATGAAATGACGGTGTGCAATGAGCCGATGGGAGACAGCGTGCGCGTAGAGATAGATATACACGGCAGAATATTCCACGCGCTCATCTAATGGGCGGATTCGTGATACGCGAGGGAGTCTGCGGCTCAATATGCTCGAAGGGATTAGCTGATTAAACGAGTCCGATGTCGTCATTCCGAATGCCGGCGGGCAGACATCTTTGCGATTGACTAGTTTAGGGGGAATCTCGGATTAGACTCAGAGAGAGAAATATGTTGAATATCGAAGAGGAATCCGTCAATTACATCTCTCCAAGAAATCATGGGGTGAAATTAATACTAGTCGTTAACCTGCCGTGCAGATTTAGCAGATATTGTAGCTTTGCAAAGTAAATCGGTGTCTTTCGGCATGCACAGTGTGAAGACAGCGCGAGGACAGGCAGTCGGCCGTGAATCGCAGCCATATACGCATGTGAACAACAAACACTTAACCGATTCCCATCAGATATCCATTGAGCCTAGTCATGCGTGCAAGGAGCTTCTATAATTAAATTACGTATACTTAATGCACTTTATATTGCTTCGAAAGATTGCAAAACCACATCAGGGAAGCAAACCGTGCCTGGTAATTACCATCTTAAGTCCATTATTCCATCTTAAGACGTTGCCTAACACACAAAAACACGGGAAATAACTCGATGACGATCTTTGATATGGACGCATTCCGAAAATAAGCAAATCGATATCTCAACAATACTAGCCGCGCAACCGCTGATACAATAGCACGCATCCGTCTCTAACTAGCAATTTAGTCCGCAGCTGCCTATACATACATACCCAATATTTACTCTCCGCGGCTAAGTAAAAATGCATGATAAGGGCGTGTGTGCGTGCGGGGTGCCTGTGCTGTGTATATATAGATACCACGTAGACTTTACTCGCTTTACCTGCCTAATGTGCCCAGGGACAGCTGAGCATGCCAGAGAGATGGCATGCGAGGCTGTTCAATCGTTAACGGCTAGGCGACTGACTATATGCATCCCAGACTCCCAGTCACGACGAGCCCCACGACTTATCCGTCGCACGAAGATGTGCGGACGGGATTTCGCGACCTACGACAAAGGTAAACACACCCGCGCCGACTGGGATGAAACGAGCCGCATCTCAATAGATCTCGGGCCGTGTTACGTGCGGCGGCGGCAGCGGCCCAACGAGAGAGAGAGAACACCAGAGAGAACACCGCCGCTGACTGATCAGCTCATATAGCGCTTACTGCCGGACAATGGCTCGGGCGATCCTGATCAAGCAAGCATCAGATCCTGATCAAGCAAGCATCAGATCCTGATTAAGTAAGCATCAGATCCTGATCGATCTAATACTATTTTTAATCTCGGTACAGTTTGCAAAGCCGTGGGCTCTTTTATTATATTTGAAGCAAAACGAATTAATATTTCCGGTTGTTTAAAACAGCTGTATGCAAAAGCTGGATATTCAGGTTTTCATATCTAAAACAACTTCACATTTGCATGACGATAGAGATCTTAGACGTCAACAACACTAGCGGCATATATGATTTCCTATTATCTTCAGGTTCGCAGTGCCTATAGGAACAAACGCGCAGCAATATATTCAACATAAAAATCCGCTTAACTAGAATATACATTGCAGGTCACTACCGTTTCGGCTTACAACTTCAGTTACGCAAATCTCACTATATACGCACCGTAAAACTCAGACTAGAATAGTAGCAATGCGTTTCCCTACTAATATCTTCGTATCCTGCTGTACCATATTCTTAAACAAAGTAGTCTACATTGTCCGTTGTGGCAATTTTCCAGGCTACGATGAAAATCAAATGCTAACGATGTGATATTTCCTTGTTTTTATCCGTTAACACTATCAGCTATTGAAGTTAGATAATTCAGGTTTTCTCAGACAATTAAAGAAGGCGAGGTTTATGATATATCACTGCTATACAGAAGTGCCGACCATCACTTTCCATAAGCATACATTAAATCATTTACTACGCTTTATATATATATAGCGCCTGATATTATATTACGCGCGGTATGGATTTAAAATGTATGATTATATGATATTATAATAGTTTGTGATATATAATTTATTAAATAGCGAACGAATCTTCGATTTGTTAAAAAAGCAATTCTATATTATTTGCGCTCTTTAGTAATTTGTTCAAGAAAAGGCAACAAAAGGCGAAAACCGTCCAAGAATGTTCAAATTTACAAACCGGTCAATTCAGCTAACGACCGAAACAAAACTGGCAATGTAGTATTTTGTTATTAAGCCTGTTTCGCTATACTTAAGAGCTTAAACGAATCCAATATTTTGAATCGGCATGCATCAGGTAAAATGCTCGCGTTCATTACGGCGCCATACGCCTCTGTCAATGGAAATGCGGCGTGTACGCACGTGCATGCGTAGATTTGCGACGAAGTAGCTACCTTGCATAAATAATACGAACATGGCTGGCTCCGTAGAGTGTGATAACTTGCACTCTGCTGCCCAGCTCTCCGTTCATCAGCAGGTATTAATAGAAACACGCTCGGATAATGTAGCGCACTCATAATATTCTACTGAACTATTTCATGAGTTTGTTGGACTGTGCGGGTAATCATTTACGGGCTTCACTGTAGATCAGCACCAAAGCGGGGTGTCTAATGGAAAACACTCACAGTTAATAATCTTGCATTGACATTTGCTAAGCCCATGACACCTGAGTGTTCAGCAAGTGCTATTCGCGGTGAAGCATTATATCGGTTCAGGGTTCAGGTGATATGCGATAAGGGCGCGTACATCTCACTGGGACGAAGCTACCGTTTCGACTATAAACGTCCACCGGTATATATCTTTTAGTACCGTCGCGTAAACATGCATACTGGAATGGCAATTAATATTTCGTGGAAACGGGTAATTTAGGCTGTGGGCAGATTCAGCACGTACTAAAACATTCATGTGAAAGACATGCACTTGCGAATGTTGTTATTAGGTATGAATTATTCTGAGTTTTGTTTTTATATAGAAAATAAGCATGACACACACCAGTTTACAGGATAATCGAATTGCTTTGCAGTATTTTCTTTTGCGCTCGCGAAAATGTACATTTTTCAAGTGTTGATCAATACATAAGCGCGAAAAAATTACCATGTTAACCAATTCTGAAGACACATTAAGCTGGCGGAAGTTTCCACCATATTCAATTGGCTCTAGCAGAATTGCAAATTGCCGATAGAATTTTTTTAGAAAAAAACATAAACATCCTCCTCTCCGAAGAACGACTGTAAATGCGGACAGTATTAGTCATGGTGTCTTGACATATCGATGAGAATACAAGCACCCGCATCTCTTATGCCACAAACGCACAGCACGCGCACACATGCCGCTCATGCACGACAGGCACGGACAGCGCGCGAGCACTATCCGGCCGGCTACGCATGCACCCGCATCGCCAATCGTCATACAACGCAGCGCCGTCGCTCACATACCCTGCGAACACAATCGCGCATCGGACGCACATGCACGCGGCACGACCACGTAAGACGCGGCACGACGGGTACGCCCGCACGACACACGGGCAAAACAGGCACACGCCATACGCCCGCGCACGCAGCCGCACACCACCGGACCATACCCGACAGTACCGCGCGCACAGATAATGTAATCACTGGCGCGATGCACGTGTGCGAGGCGTTTCGTTTCAGACTCACTGGCAATTGATTCGAGACTCTCGCTTGGGCTGCAATCTTATTGATGTGCCGACAGCACACTCCTCCGCTGCTGCTGGCCGCATGTGAATGGTGCGTGTTGTGTGAATATTCTCACTGTGGCAGTGTAACGAGGGGTTAATGCCTGCATTCGAAGTGACAGCGACCGCGACTCGAAAGCACTCTTATACGCACGCTACACGTACAGTGGTGGCATTTTGCAATCAAAGTTTCATGCATGATCGAATCGCACACTGGATGCAGATGCGGCCTAGTAACTTCTAATCCTGGAATTCGCGAAAAAAACAAGGCTCCGAAAGAGCGAGCTTATACCTACAATTCCCGTGCAAACGCGAGCATTGTAGACCACGTATACGCTATAACTGAACAGTGCGATTGAAATTTACTTTGTGAGGGGTAATATATGAGACAAGCGAGACAAAACTACCGTCTGTGATTAGTCGTGGCCCTTTTTAAAGCGACACACACGCATATAATGCAGCATCGGCACACTACAAGTAATAGGCAAAGATTCTGAACGCTGCCCGCCATGTTAAAGAAAGCAATTTGCAGAACACGGCGAAGCGTCGGCAGTAGTCATGGAAACGAGCGTTAGAAGCTACAACTTTTAGGCAAGACTGCAAGAAGGCCTGGGTCGTTCTGAAAGGTCATCAATTTAATTCGCATATTTTTTAAACAAATCGACATTAATTCGGATTTTAGCAACAGATGTTACCGGAATTGAGCACACAGGTCTGATTGGATTTCTGAACTATCTAGAGTGCGCAAATTCTCGCAAATGTTTCGCTTACATTCTCTCGCATCTCGCTTCGGCAACGAGCCATGTAAATTTAGGCACATTTGATCGAAATAAATGTGCTTTCTAATGGGAACAACACCAAAATGTTTGTGGGCACAAGTTGAAAATAACGTGCGACAACTAAGCTGAGTTTGATCCATGTACAGCGATATACAGGAAATTAAAGACCGATAATGGAAATGAGGAATCAAGAATCGGAAAATGAGGAACGCGAGATAGCCGCCTAATACTAGCCGTAATATTCTATAGCAGATGGTGACATTTAAAAGGCATACTAGGCCCATTGTATTATGCAATGGTTGACGATGCTAGAAGTAACTACGGCACCTTGTGTAGTTAATAAGTACATTAACCTTACATCAAACGGCCGGTATTAGTAGTTTTGTCTACTGCTGTTTGTCACTGCTGCTTACTAAGAAATGTCTAATTGAAATCCGCAGTCCAAGAATCAGGT